GAGAGAGAGAGAGACAGAGAGCGAGCGAGCGAGCCGAAACAGGTTCGAAATCACAGACACACAGACATCAAGGGATAGACACCGGATAAAGAGCCTTGCTACTGTTTGCGGAGCCACGGAGGCTCAAAGCAACTGAGATTGAAACGACACCTGGAGGATCAGAAGAACGCCGTGACTTGGCTGCAGCAAACGGCCGTCTGCCTTTTCGAAGCTCACATCTTATCTCCTGGCACAGCATGGACAACATGGTGACAAATTCGAAGTTCAGCTGCATGTCGCTTCTTGGTTTTGGCCTGGAGATTCTCCGAAATCGCTGCGAAATGCTGATGCGAGTACTTGAGCAGCTCTTCCTGCGAAGAAGACTTTGACATGTCACAAGTCATTGGGCGTGCTTGTAGCATCTTTGCACCTGGACACAACGAAGTTCGGCCTGTTGAGCCATGGCCCGCATCAGGTTGTACTTGATAAATCTCGGTGCAGTCTTGGAATCGTGCACCCAGCGGCTCAAAGGGATCACAAACTCGTCGGCCTTGACACAGAAGCCCTCAAACAAAGAACAACACACAATTGCCTATCAGGGTTGAATGCATCTTGCAGGCATCTCCTCGATGGAGCCAGAGCCGTCGAGGTCGATCATGTCGAAGAATTGCTGCAGATCCACTTCGTCAATATCCATGACTCGGAGCCTTCCAGGAAAGACTTGTCATGGCAGTGCACACGCACTGGATGATCACTGAATGCACCCCACTGCAGTATAGACGTGATTTGAAGGTGTACTTACAGGATCGTGGTGTTTGGGATCATGTTGAAGACTGCTGCGTGAAAAAGCCAGGACTTGACTCTGTCCAAGCCGAGCTAGGAGGAACTGTAGAGTACAGACTGTGGAGCATGTCAGATGCCATTTTGAAAGACCCAAGAAAGGCTTTGTTATGGACGCATGGCTTGAAGCCAAGGGGCCTGCTCTGAAACTCAGCATCTGTGCGAGCTCCATTCAGCAACTCTTCCAGAGTGAGCTCGCCATCATTGTTCGTGTCGATCCTATTGTCTCAATCTCGTATGGAGTATTTCAGTCAACCGGGTACAAGCATCAAAAGTCAACCAAGCACAATATTCATGTGACCACGTGTTCACCCGACAAACGGAAGAGCCTGCAGTCGGAGCAAAGAAGCTTAGAAGAGTTGAATTATCGCACCCGTCCTTCGGAAAATTTGTTTCAAGATCTGCTGGTCATCCTCCATGCTGAATTCCATCTCTTGTGCCAAGTTGACAACATCGTTCTCGCGAGTCTCTGCGAAAGTATCAACGACTACCTTGCCGGCGGATATGGACAGTACAGCAACAATCGCCATAGCCACTACAATCAAACAACAACGCCGACAACAAAGCAAACCCACAAGAAACAAAATAACAAAGCTCCTCAAGTGCATGCTTGGTTTCAGCCACAATCAAGTTGAGCACACCGAAGACTAGGGTCAAGGACGCCCCAACAAAGATGATGGCAGTCTCAGGATGGCTTTCAATCATGGGCACCGCGATGAGGCCCCAACTGTCTCCGGCAATTACGGTCTTGAATAGCATCAAATTGGCGTGCATGACTGATGTGGTTGACCGCTTGCATTCTTCGCAATTGTCAAAAGGATGAGATGCCTGCATCTGGAGGACGTACGGGTTGATGAGCTCAACTATGAGCATTGCCCAGCCAGTCATGACCAAGGACAGAAACAAAAAGGACCAAAGTAATGTCTTAAAACACGTCGCGAGCATAGTCACAAGCTTGCGCAATTCCCGTAACGACCTGTTCTTGCGCATTAGCTGCATCAAACGCACGATCCGGCTCAATCTCAGCACTCTGACAATCCCAATCGAATTGAGGACGTCCGCATGAAGCAGCATACCCAGAAATACATCGGCATAGCCCGAAAAAATGATCAACACGTCCAGTCTCGTCAGCCAGTCCTTGAAAATTCGTGGGCCTGACAAGGCAGGTCAGACGGACGGAGCTTCCCCAGAATTCAATGTAGACACGTGTACACACCCTCAAGCAAACACTAGTTCGCTACCAGGTTTTGCCTCCTGCATGGCTGAATCATGTCTGTCTATAACGTGCTTCGCTACCAATGCGGAGTCTTACTACACTACATCCAAACCACAAATCCAGATACACCCACACACACACACACACACCGACAGACCGACGATCAACCATCAACGAGCAAAATGCTATGGTCTCCGCTCACTCTCGCAAAGTTACGGTCAATCAACTTGCGACTTGATGAGTCATACGAATTACATTACATGCAAGTCTTGCACAAAGGGCTTTGACATGGATAGGAATTCATGCCGTACAAGAATGTCACTGCTCGCATCGCCTCGAACGGCCAGCTGCAAAAGCAGTTCCACTGTGTACAGAGCCAAGCATACGGACGAACCGGCCAACACAGCCGGGGGCGTCTCAACACCAGCTGCGCGTGCGTCTATGTCACTCGCAGTCAAAACCGCATCAAGCAAGACTACGACGACCATGAAGTGAGCAAAATATCGGCTGCGAACCAGTTTCCTTGCCCAGCCATATACTATGACCACTGACAGATTTGACCTTCCTCGCGCAACAGTACTTACATCAGCGCTGTCGGAACCGGCACGTTGAAAGTACCCTGCCGAAATAGCCAACTTCCTCGCTGTACTGTGCTCATCCGCCTCCGATGGTATTTCGATAATCTCACCTCTTCTCGAAAATGAGATGGCGCTCCCTGTAGAAACAGCACGCTCGAAATCGGTTGCCATGTCACCGATGTTCGGGAAACCATCATCTTCTCCCGAATCGATGCTTTCATTGTCATCAGACTGCCGTTGTTGTCGATGAGGCGGCATGCTCAGCGCAACTACTGGTAACGCAGAATATCTTGGAAATGTACAGGTCTTGAACAATTTGAGATGACATGTCGCGAGCGACGGGTGCAACAACACAAACAGATTAACTGTGAGCATACCTTTTCAACCCTTTACCCATCTGCGCCATGCTCTGCGCATGCGCTAGCCATGCGGTGAGCGCCGCGATGACCCTCCATCTACGCGTCAAAGCACACCCGCAGGAATGGGCACCCTGTCAAGCTGGACGTGTTGAGCGCCTCGCCACAGCAGAAGATCGTTGGCGACTCCACAAAGCAAGGCTTGTTCTTAGCGGGAGTACGATTCTGGGCCTGCGGAGCATGACGGTATAGGCTGGGTATAGGGCCGTATAGGGATGCAGTGTGAGCGTGCAGTTGGCCCTTTCGCCAACCCAGATCGATCAAGGTCAGGGAATAGAATCTCGAACGTGCGCTTGTCCAGAGTGGCTCCGGTACTGCGTTTCCACCGCCTCTCTCACACCTTCGCGGAAATGTCGTCATCCCCGAGGACGCGATTGTCGCAGCGCCGCCCACGAAGCCGCCGAGAGTGTAGGGCGAAATCCGTGAATGACGTCATGAAACTTGCGACTTGCGAGATCTTGAAAGCGTGCCAAAGTGGCATTCTTGCAAAGCGCGGCTCGCTGGCGTCTAATGCCCCTGCAACACGGTAGGATCCACCGCCCCATGTGGCCCTTACGAAAATGTCAGGAACCCTTTGGCCTCTGATGCTAGTGCCGCTGTTGCCAACAGCAATGTCGCTCAATGGTGTCGCATGCTGGTTCTTGCTTGGCGGCAGTGCCTTGGGACGATAATGGTCAGTGCTTGTGATTCTCATGTTTCTGCACCTTGTTAGTCCTGCCTTCGGGAGTCCGCTCTCGGGCTGCTGGTGTGCCATGCAAGCTGCGCTCACGGTTAAGTACAACACGATCACCACGAGGAGTGATGCAACTTTTGCCGACTCCGTCAGGCCGAAGCTGCGCAAACAATTGAAGGCCACTGGTTATTTCCTTCAGGGGGGTGGCTTCTGGAAGCAGCAAATGTCGAAAAAACCATGCCGGGCCTGCGTACATTTCAGGCTATTGGAAACTTGTCGGCTGATGCTTCTGGTGTTCAAGCACGACGCGACTGCTGTGGGTCGTCGGAAGGTGGTTGTAACGCTGGCGAGAGGAATGGTCTGCGAACATACAGGACCTTCGTCACGATTTTCTGGAATGTTGGCCGCTGCAGGCTGAAGACCGTTGTCGCAGTGCGCATCTGGAACGAACTACGTGCAAATTGATGCAAGCTCGATTGGAGGGCCGACTTGGGATTGGACACATGCGAGCCGCAGGCCACGGCGTTGCCAAAGGCATGGAATCAAGGTTATGTGTCAGCGGCAGGCCAAGCGTGGCCGGCGGCGTCGCGCGCAGCGGCAGACGATCCGGCATTCGAGCTCATGTAGGACCCCGCTAACGCCGCGGGGCCCAGCATGCTGCCGTCCCGTACCTGAACGCAGCCTGAACGCTGTTTCTAGCCGACTGAAGACGGTACCGTTTGGCGAAGCAAAAAGGCGTGAAGAAAAAAAAATATACATATATGTACATATGTATATGTGTATATAACGCTTCGGCTGTAGAAGAATGTACAGGAGTGGGGTATAAAGGGGGTCAGAGGCAGAAAGGTTTGGGGCAACAGGGGAGGTTCACAGGCATTGGGGTGTAGGGCTGCAGGGGTTCAGGGGTAAGGGGCTGTATAAGGTATGGAGTCTTAAGAGTTTCGTAGAGAGAGAGAACGAAACGGCAAAACAGGAACAAGAGAGAAGGGAGAAGCAACTCAAGAAAGAGATATAGGCATAGAGAAAGAGAGAGATAAAGACATAAATATAGAAGACAAAGATAAGGTTGCATGAGAGAGAAACAAAGGACAAACCAAACGAATAGAGATGGAGAGAACGAGAGAAGGAGCGAAACAGAGAAAGAAGAGAGAGACCGAGAGAGAACGAGAGAAAGACAGAAGGAGAGACAGAACAACAGAAGAAAAGAGAGAACGAGAGAAAAGGAGCAAGGGAGAAAGAGAGAGCCAGAGAAGGAGGGAGGGAGAGAGAGA